TGCGATACGACACACGCTCTTGCGCAGTCACAACCTGCACCGCAACATCACACGCGCTCGAAACCACAGTGCAATGCGAAACGGAGCAGTCCATGCCCAGAGACTGCCAGGATCCCATGTGTGTGCCTCCTGCGCACAAGGCATCCCCAACGGCATGCGGAACAGCGTTGCCAGGCGTACCCAACCGCAACAAGGGGCAGCACGGAAGGGGGGCTGCCGACCTGTCGTCAGATGACGGCATGTTGCAACATGCAGGGCCTCAGAAAACTCACTCAAACCTTGCGGGCAATTGTGTAAGAGACAAAGGGAATGGGGCCCTTGCTCAAGCGCGCCTGCNTGACAGCCGCGCGTGCTGCAGTGAAGCACCACTGCTGCAGATGTGCAAAACCCCACCAGGCGCGCGCTATGAAAAATATTACACCGTTGCTCAATGACAAACCGGATCCTGAGAATACTCCGAACCGGAGCGCCCAGTGCGTACACCGAGGCACCCAGGGCGACCGCAAAACAATCACCGGGCAGCGCGAAACACCATCAAACTTATTTAAAATTAACGGATACTCCTGCAACTATCCAAAAGACACAATCCACGCAAGCCACTTCACCAGGGTCACCCGCCAGGCGCTACGAGCAGCTGCTGCGTGCAGCCCAGCCGCGTCGTCGCCGCTTGAGCCCATGCGTGCAACGGACCGCTGTGCGACCACTAGGAGTGGCGGCGATGCTGTACAACAAATTCATGAATGGGACATGCCGAGAGAACACCGCACAGGGTTGACAAACAAAGACAGGGACGGGACCACGGCACCAGCACTTTTAGGTGTGCTTCTGTGGGCCACCGCAAGGTGGAGCAACAACCGATGCCGCAAGATGCGTGTGTNGGAAGATGAACAAGATGCGGCTGCTCACCATAATAATGCTGATGGCACACCCTTGCGGGACGACGGACGCCCCGACGCTCTCGAACATAGCTCACCTTGCGGTGCCCGAGATGGCAGCAGCAGCAATGGTAATGTTGCTGGTAGTCTCGCCCTGCGTCCATGGAGCCCTTGCAGCGGCGTAC